ACACGTCATATATATATATATATATATATATATATATATAACATTATCACTTTAGTGATTTTAGGTACATATTTTTTTAAAAAAATTGAATTAATGTAATTATTAATGTGTCCTTTGAAGAATTTTTTTTAAAAAAAAATTTTATTCATAGACAAACAAGATAATATCTTTTAAATTCAGATACCAAAGTTGCTTTTTTTAGATTAAAAAAAAAATTAATGCGTGGGCTATACCACAACATTTTGCATACATCTATATCATACTTCGTGTGATCCGACTCAAGAGCACATAGTATAGAAGGACACGACAAGAAATATCTCCTTCTAATATTGTGTCATGTTGTTCAAAGTCAAAACTCGACAAAGGGTAACAGCAAAGCAAATCATATTAAACATGTTACTTTCCTTGTGTACTCAAAATTAACAACGGCAACAGAATCCCTGAAAGTGCCGATTCTTTTAGTGACCAAGAAAGAAGAAAAAAATTGTGATCTCCAACGTGAACACTAGAGCAACATGATGACAGGCGAGGAACTGATACAAAAGCTTGAAGACTTAACCAAGAACGCCCAACATCACCAGTTGGAGACTCTCCGTTCGATCCTTCTTCACAATGGCAACGTACGCTATCTCCAACCCTTCAAGGCTCCTCTTCATCCCTCCACTTTCACACGTCTCGTGCCCTTGTCTTCCTATCAAGACTACGTTGACTTCATCAACCTCATGGCAGAAGGGAAAGATGACCCTTTTCTCTCCGTTGACCCTCTCTTATGCTTCTTCTACAGGTCACTAAATCACTATCTTCTCTCAATTCATCTCTTTAAACACTTCTTCTTCCTTAAAAATCGTTTCACACTTCACACACGTCGTGATCCCTCACCGTGTCACGTTGGGCAAACTATCATCATAAATAATGCCTTAAAATGGTAAATTCAAGAATGAGTATACTTATCCTTATTTGGATTCATAAATGCTTTTGTTTTTATTTTCTGTATCTATTCTTAATGTTAAAATGAACAAATGTGTATTGAGTCTTTCAATTTGTTTGTCAGAATTAGTTTTAATCTTTATACTTTAAAAGATGTAATTTTATTTTTTTTCTTCTTAATTTTGTTCTTTTTTATCTAATTTATGATATTAAGGTGATCAATTGAAAGACAAAATTCATTGATTATATATAAATATAAATATCAAATTATTATTTTTAAAGGATAAGAATTATGATCAATTTTTAAGAATATATTTTATTCATTAAAAATGTCAATTTTTCACTCTTTTTTTTCATGTTTTTGACTAAAATACTTATTTTTTTCATATTTTATATACAAACTTATGAAATAAAAACAAAAATAAGATGGCATTTTTGTAATTAAAAGCCAAAACTGAAGACGTTTTCTTACAACTATTCAATAAATTATCTCATGTTGAACACACGTATTTGAGATGTGACATCGAGCATTATTTACACCAAGTTTTGTTTTGTACGTTATAATCTTTTGGGGCACTTAAATTTGATTGACATTGATAATTGAGGTTTGGATTTTGTCCCTCAGCTCAGGAACAAGTTCAAGCACCATGAAACCGAAATTGATCCCTTACTTTGATTCAAGCCTTTCCAAAGCAGCTTCCTTTATTGGTCATCGAGGCAGTGTTGCTATTCGTCAAAGGTGAATTAATTAATCAAAATTTTAATTTCTTCCAAAATCTGAAGGATATCATGTTTGTCCAAAAAGATGAATTTTAAACTCTTGCAGGCTATTTCCTCCAAGGCCAGAAGTGAACAAGATCCTATGGTTTCTCTATGCTGACAATATTACTACTACTAAATGTGGCTTGAAAGTTATGGCTGCCTCCACATACCCTTTGCAAAGTGGTAATGCCACCCCTCAACAACTTGCTACCTTTTCCAGTCCCCTAGAAGTGATTCTTGGGTCTCATGTTGAGCATCAATTGTACTGCCACCTTCTATGTGGCCTTAGGAATCTTGAACTTATAGATGGAATCACAACCCCTTATGCCATTGGCTTGATCAAAGCATTTGGTTTTCTGGAGTCCAAGTGGGAGCAACTATGTGATGATCTAGACCATGGATTTCCATGTAATGAAATTTCAGAGGTGGCAATGAGGGAAGCTGTAACTAAGACTCTTGGTGGACCTCAGCCAGAATTGGCAAAGAGAATAAGGTTAATCTGTGAAGGTAACAACTGGGGTGGAATTGTGTATAGATTGTGGCCAAACATTCGTTACATAAGGTGTGTTACCACTGGAAGCATGAAGCAGTACTACCAAAAACTCAAGTATTATGCAGGAGAGGTACCTATTTTAGGAGGGGATTACTTTGCTTCAGAGTGTTGTGTGGGTATAAATTTAGACATAATGCAACCTCCTGAGACAACACGGTTTGTGATGCTTCCAACTGCTGCCTACTTTGAGTTTCTTCCATTTAAGATGAATGAGGACAATATTGTTAATAAGGAAACAGTGGATCTTAGTAGTGTGGAGGTTGGGAAGATGTATGAAGTGGTTGTTACTACTTATAGAGGATTTTATCGCTACCGTTTGGGCGATATAGTGAGAGTTGTTGGTTTCCATAACTCATCTCCACAAGTAGAGTACGTAATGAGAGCACCTAAAACTCCTGCTGAGATTGTGACTGAGAAAGACTTGATTTCGGCTGTTGAAAATTTTCAACTTGCACTTAGAGGTGCTATGAGAATTGAGATTGTCGAGTTTGCAAGTTTCTTGGACCAGGAGTCAAGACCTAAGCAGTTGAAGGTATTTGTGGAAGTCCAAGAGGAATCTAACTTTTTGGAGGATAAACTGGAGGAATCAGTAAAAAAATTTAGAAGTTGTATCTCCTCTCTCGAGAGTGGCTTGGGAGCTATGTACAAGGTGCAAAGGGATAAAGGTCAACTAGGAAACTTAGTGATATTCATCATAAGGCCTGGAGCTTTTGATCAATTATCAGAATTAGCCATTAAGAATGGAACATCAGCTAGTCAATATAAACCACCCAAGATTATACGGAATCATGAAGTTGTCAAATTATTGGAAAATTTAGCCTTTGTGACAGCTTCACTGGATGACTAATAATATTTAGTGAATGAAATGAATTTCTACCAATAACGCTATCCCCACCCTCTAAAATTCAACTCTTTTGAGAATGATCTATTTCAAAGATTAGTGATTACATAAACATAAGTGTAATAGAAAGATTAGTTGTTTGGGGTACAAGTCAATGCATGTTTTCAAGAGGTAAGTTTCCAATTGGGGCATAAGTGTAATAGAAACATTATGTTTAGGGATGCTTTGATATTCTGTCAAATTCGAAAGGGGGAGGGGGACATTCTACATTTGTTGTTTTGGTGTTTAAGTTTACCTTGTAAATTGGTTACATGTAAACCATTTCATTTCAATAAATCTTAGTTCTTAATTTGAATGATATAATTTTTTTTTTCTCTTGAGAGCTAAAGTGCAACCACCAATTTTATATTACTGTCTTGGAGAATATTTCATGAACCATTGACATTAAGGTAATCAATGTGAATTGTAAACCTTGAGAACAAATCCAATTATCAAAATAAAAGCAAAACTACGACAAATAATATGGCTAGTGATGATTCAATCATCAAACAGCGTCGGTTTTTCCTTTTTCTTTCTCCACCGTACACTGTTCAACAAATCACCAAACTCCTGCTTCCTATGCGTTAATGGCCGCTTGTAATTGTTCCAAGCTTTTCCCCTTGGTTTCTGGCACAGCAACGATTATAAATAATATACCCGGTGCATTTATTGCTGCATAAAGAATGAAGGTACCCGCAAATTGTACACACAAGTGAATTTACTAGTTCTACAGGTTTCCTTAACTTCAATCTTCTACGGTTAATCCCAGGTTGTTAACACCTTTAATTGAAATAAAACAGAAAAACGTGACTTGTGTTTATTTACCATAGGAGCTCCAGCTCCTGAGGAAGTTGAAAGTATAGGAACATAACCATGCACCAACCCAGTTCGTTAATGTGGCCACACTTCCTGCTATCCCTTTAATATTGACCGGAAATATCTGTAAAGTGTAAACCAAAGGTAATATTTGATCAAGTTTTATGTCTCTTCGTTAAAAGTAAGTCTTGCTGATTTTGATCAAGTTTTATAAGTGGAGACTTTGTAAGTTGGTTTTGGCTATTAACACGCATCACTAGCTTCAAGCCAAATAAAAATAATAATACATTTAATTCCAGCAGGGGATCAACAATTGCTAGTTCTTAAGTACAACTGTTATTCTAGAAATTCCATATTGTATATGTTTAATTAATTTGCATTTCTTCTCTTGTGCTTATCTTAGTGGCATTAAAACTTGACCGAAGAGAGAGGAAGTTAAGTACCTCAGACATCACAACCCATGGAATTGCTTCCATTCCAATTGAAAATGCTCCTATGTAAACCTAATATCACCAAAAGAAAGAGTAATAACACATGGAGAATCAGTTCATATTTGAGACACATCCAAGAAAACAACATCAATAAATACATAGTAGCAATGGTCATTATACCAGTATGCCTGTTACGGCAAGTGCTGGGACTGCTGCAGCACCCACCTCGTGAACCTGTTTCACAGAAGGATATTATTTTCACAAAATTATCAGGATGAAAAACCAGAAGCTATGGGGTGTACCTTGAGATAGAATGCAACTGCTGCAAATACACATCCTGCGACCAATCCCGATCCAGATATCTAAAATGAAATCAAGAAAGAATAATAAGAATATTATACACAAAAAGGATATTTATAAGCACACAAAAGTTTGAAGATAAACTGTTTTGTGCTTTGAATTTACCAGATGTAGGGGCTTCCTGCCAGCTTTATCTATGAGGGCTGCTCCACCTGTGACCACAATCTGCAAAAGAAAAAATAATGATGAGTTGGTTTGGGGAAAATAAATATTAGATTTTACAAGAACTAATAATCAAGTTAAAATTAAGAACCTGAAGGCAAGCATATGTTATAGTCCCGATGGTGGGAGAAAATCCTGACATAAAATCCACAAAATATTCATTGCCAAAAAATAAAATAAAAAATTCGAATGCTTCATGAAGTTTATTCAACAGTTTGTCAGTTTCCAATGGGAAGTGTAGCAGTGAGTTATTGATTATACGAAATGGTGATGTGCAATAAAGTATGACGGTGTCATAGACTCGAAATGCAGACTTTGAACCATATATGATTACAACAATTCCTATAAGTACATACCTGCTAGTTCAAAAAAGAATTTGCTGGTATAAAAGCAAATTCCAATGATCCCCCAAACTGCTGGAAGACCATAAGAATCATTCAATATCTCACTTTGTACATTAAATTATTGGGATACAAATAAGTCTCACATTGATAAAATATGATAAAAAAAATAACAATTTATATAACATAAACATACTTTAATGATTGAGAGGCCTTTTGGGTAATGACCAAAAGAAAAACCGTGAGGGCTAAGACCCAAAGTGAACAATATCTCATCATCATTGTAGAGTATGTTTATGTAATAACCTTATAAAACAACCCTCATAAAATATCATCTCAGACAAATACCATAAAATAACCTCATCAGTGGTATCAGAGCCGCATGTTAGATTCGGTGACAACCAATAACCCCATAACCCCTCATAACTCATAACATATAATGTGATATATAAAGATAGATTTCGCTGCATGAAAGGTTAGGTCCCTTGTTTGAGAGGAGGATTGTTGGGATACAAACAAGTCCCATATCGATAAAATATGATAAAAAAAATAACAACTTATATAACATAAACATACTTCAATGATTGAGAGGTCTTTTGGGTAATGACCAAAAGTAAAACCGTGAGGGCTAAGGCCCAAAGCGGACAATATCTCATCATTGTGGAGTATGTTTGTGTAATAACCTTATAAAAATAACTCATAAAATATCCCCTCAAACAAATACCATAAAAAATAACCTCATCTTTGGTATCTAGAGCTAAGGTTACGATCTTGGAGATGGAAGCAGAAACAAATTTTTCACAAATTTCCCCACCTATTTTTGATGGAAAAAGTTATGATCTTTGAGCGGTGAGAATGGAGGCATACCTAGAAGGTTTAGATCTCTGAGAAGCCGTAGAAGAAGATTATGATGTTCCCGCGTTGCCGTCATCCTACCGTAGCCCAAATGAAAATTCACAAAGAAAAGAAAATCAAGAAGGCAAAGGCAAAAAGTTGTCTCTTTGCCTGTGTTTCACAAAATGTTTTCTCCAGGATTATGACTCTCAAATCGGCAAAAACAATTTGGGATTATCTAAAGGAAGAATATGCTGAAGATGAAAGGATTCAAAGCATGCAAGTATTAAATTATGAGAGAATTTGAAATACAAAGAATGAAGGAGACTGAGACAATCAAACAATACTCAGACAAATTGTTTGGCATTGCTAATAAGATACGATTACTAGGAACACAATTTCTTGATTCTAGAATTGTTGAAAAAATTCTAGTAACTATACCTGAAAGATATGAAGCTTCAATAGCGGCTTTGGAGAACACAAAGGATCTGAGTAAGATCACTTTGGCAGAGGTGTTATATGCATTGCAAGCATCAGAATAAAGGAGGCTTATGAGAGAAGAAGGATCTATGGAGGGTGTATATTTAGCCAAATGGAAGAACAAAAATAGTGGCAAAAACAAGAAGAAGGAATTGTTTCAAGAGAACAGTCAATATAATAACACTCAAATTTTTCCACCATGTCCTTATTGCAAAAAGACTAATCATCCACAACAGAGATGTTCGTGGAGACCTGATGTAAAATGTGACAATTGCGAAAAATTAGGACACCTAAAACATGTATGCAAATCTCATGAGCAACAAGAAGAAGCCAACATTGTTGAAGATCAACAAGAAGAGGAAGAAGAAGAACTACTTTCAATGTCATGCTTTATGACCAAAAAACCCTCAAAAGCTTGGATTATTGATAGTGGTTGTACAAATCATATGACCTATGATCGAGAACTCTTCAAAGAACTCAACAAAACTGATATCTCTAAAGTTCAAATGGGGAATGGAGCACACCTTGCAGTAAAAGGCAAAGGAACACTTGCTATTAAGAGTCATTCAGGTTTTAAATTAATATCTGATGTTTTATACGTTCCTGATATTAACCAAAATTTGTTGAGTGTTTCTCAATTATTAGGAAAAGGCTATAAAGTGTTATTTGAAGATAAAAATTGTGTGATTAAAGATATACACAACAAAGAAGTGTTCAATGTCCATATGAAAAGCAAAAGTTTTGCTTTAAATTTGGAGAAGGAGGAGCCAATTATAAATGAAGATATAAGTGAAGAGCACAAAGATACATGTCTTCAAAAGAAGTTTGATGATCAAGAGGAGAATGAAGATGATGAAAAATCACCTTCAAAAGAGAAGTTCAAGACAAATGTTAAAGTGGTCCCACTCAAGAAAGATTACAACAAAAATTACAAAAAGAAGAAACCAATCAGAAAGAGAAAAGACAGATTTTGAAACTCAAATTAGGTGATAAAATTATTTAGTCAAGGAGGAGTGTTGGGAATATGCCTAAATATCTTTAGGAGATTAAGTTAGTTTTTCTATAAGAATATTTTATTTATATTTTAAATATTTAGATTTAATCTGTTCTGATTATTTTAGGATTTATTTCCTTATTTTAGAATAGGATAATATCAATATTTGATTTTGTATAACAAATTTTTTCTATAAATAGAGACTCATGAATAAAATTATATTATACTCTTCTGATAAAAATAACTCTTATAAAATATCCCCTCAAACAAATATTATAAAATAACCCTATCATAAATTTTAACCATCTTTACTTAAATGCAGGAACTCTGAAATAATTTGATCTACATCCATACTTTTATAATTACAACTTTATTTATTATTATATTTATCTTTTTTGTCTAAAATATAATAAAAATAAATTAGCTGATATTTAGTAAAACATAATAAAAAAATTAAAAAACTAATTCTTATAATAAAAGTTGATTTGGGTTAAAAAAACTTCAAGAATAAAACTAATTCTTATTTTGCTTGAGTAAAAAAAAAACATATTAATTAAACACATGCTTGGTTTAAATTATTTAAGTTCATCAAGCCAATTTAACCTAAGTACCTAATAAACAAATTTGTTTAGAATGATTTTTAGAGTAAAATATCTTTGAAGTGAGTAACCAAGTAGTGATAATGAATAATAAACTACGTGGGTACAGCAAAAATTACCCAGGATTATCCTCTTAATAAGGGCCAAAATGATAATAGGTTAATTGTTTGTTTAAAACTGAAAGTAAAATTAAACAAATATTTAACCAATATTGTAAAGGCATCATTCTCTTCCTTTTTTTTTTTTTTTTTTAAGTACACCCCCTTTTATTTATTTTTTTAAAAATATCCTTGACCTTTTTCTTATTCTTTAATTTTTTAATTTTACATCGAATGGTGAATTTAAAACATTTTTTCTTATTTTTCACACATTTTTTCTCTCTCTCTCTCTTTTAGTTTTCACATACATTTTTTATTATTTTTGTACTCTCCACCTATTTTAATAGATAATTTTAATTCTTTTGATTTTCACATTATTCTCTCCTACCTCTTTTTTCAATTTTTACACGCACTCGAACCATAAAACTGGTGCGCAATAATGTTGTAGGTGCATCCAACTTCCAGGGAGGAATTGCTCACACTTCCAAAAAATACAAAACACTTAATTTAATATTGTGTTTTTCTAGAAGCATAAAAAGGGAGGAATTGCTCAAATAAAAAATGTATATATGACTCGACACTTTCAACACTGTTGAAGAAATTACATGCGCCTATAACATTGTCATGCACCAGTTCTATCCCGTGGGTATGAAAACAAAGAGGGGAAGAGAGTAATAGTGTGAAATTTAATTGGAGAAGAGAAGAAAAAAAAATAATGTAAAAATCAAAAGAATTAAAATTACTTATGTAAATAGATGGATAGTGAAAAAAGGTAAAGAGATACATGTAAAAAATTAAAAGAATAAGAGAAGGATGTGTCTAAAAAAAAGTGCTAAAATTAAATGTTGGAGGTAAAAAATAAATAAATAAGGATTAATGATATTTTAGAAATTTAAAAAGAAAAAAGGAAAGAAAAAAAAAAGGAAGGATACTTAACAAAAAAAAAAAAAAAGGTGTATATATCATAGGCTATTGTGAATTTGATAAATAAGATCGAAGAAAAGATATAGGCCTATCCTGCAAAATGAAATGTAGATATCCACCGAAGGGATCTGTGAAAGATCAAATAAAATTTTACTCTCGTGACTGTTGATCCTTACAACAATAATAATCGCGCTTTCAAATTTTTCTTCCAATAAAAAAAACTGAAGCTAATTTTAGAGGCAGTTCTCTCCCGTCTCCACTAATTGACATAATCAATCATACTAAGCTAATATCATACTGTACCATCTACATGAAGGGACGGAGAAGTATCAGTTAAACACACTAATAATTTAGTTATTCATCTTTCATTTCTTCTCTTTTGCCAAATTCAAAATAAAAATGTACACGACTTAAAAGGGAATTCCATGCCTGATTCATATTTACAGAACATTGATAAATGACCAGCTTACGACTGAATGCAAGCTCAAAATACCTTTACCCAGAACTTTCCACACTGTAGGCCCCAAAGTTAGCAAGCCCCTGAATACATGAATTTCCATCGACAAAATGTACAAGGTTGAGAGTCCGATGGAAACCGCACAATTCAGCAACAAATCAATCTAATATTTTGCTCATACCATTTCTTATTCACAATATTTACATTGATTTAATATTTCCTAGCTAAGATTCCAGCCAGCGCAGATGACGAGATGACCTCATAGGTGCTGCAACTTATTCTTCAATTGTGATAATCAACCTAAATAAAGTAAGTGAAATTAATGAAGTCATTGGCAATAGATTAATAGATGATATCAACAAAACAATCACAAAGATTTAGAAAATAGATGTAGCTGCAGCCTCATATTTTTACCTTCTTCGGAAAAGGTAAATATGCCACCAAACATTTCATCATTCTCCCCCTCTTCCTCCAGTCGCTCTCTTTCATGGTGGCTGCTGCCGCTGTCAACATCATCAGTTACAACTTCAGTTAACACTTCACTATGCTCCTGTGTTGTGCAGTGGCCATCCTTGAGAGATATCCCAAGACATTCATTTTGCATAGTCGAGGCTACTTCCACAAATTCAGTCTCGTCTGAAGCATGTTCTAGGACCAATGCTGAGTTCTCATCGATCCCAACACCTATAGAATCTGTTCTTTCAGAACTGATATTTTCAAGAAATATAGGACTGTCAATATGGTCAACGTTAAAATCAACATGTTTTGAGTTTCCAGATAGACATGATGAATTTTCCATCACAATCTGGTTTTGCAGAGAAGGCTCAACACTGATTGTTCCCATTTTTTCCAGGCATATCTCACCAAGCATTTGATAACTAGAAGCAACTTGATCCAAGTCAAGCAGATTTTCAATTCTTCTTGATGAACCTAGAGTAAATTAGTAATATCATATAAATGAGAGGTTGCCACATGAGATTCAAGATAAATTACTAAAAATAGACTTGAAAGAGGTTGTTGGTGGTTTCAAAAATAAAAGAAATTACTAAAATGATGTGGACTGTTTAGTACTCGGCTATTCATCAAGCATTTCATTGAAGAAGAAAAAAATAGTAATATTATGAAAATGTGTATCTAATATTCTTGCACAACTTCAATGGGTCCTTAATGATTCATACTTTGCTTCACAAAAGTTACAAAACTAGCCTATTGAAATGTATTTTTTCTATACACAGCTTCTCACCTCCATCAGAGCTTTCAGTCGAACTCAGTGATGCTGGCTTTGAATGACAAATAACTGTCACATCAGCAGTTTCCTTGTCATCAGCCTGATTGGGAACAGGAGATGTAGGACATAAATATCTTCCCCCAGCAAGGCCTCTAAATCAATAGCCAAGCGTAATTAGCATGACCACAATATATGAACATTGACAAGCACATACAAACAAAAAATAGTTCATTTAGGATAACAGCTGTAACTAATGATAATATATGCTTTTTGCTAGACAATACTTAATTGGTCAAACGGTAATAAATCCCTGTAAATGCCTCCAATTCATCAACCGAATGCAGGCAGCAGATACTTAAAATATGGATGATTGATAGGTCCCTAAGAAGTTACGTTAGTAATTAGTTAGTCAAAGAAATACACAGGTTTATGTTAGAAAGAAGGGGAATGGTCCTGCAACTAATTTGGCCCATTAAGGTTGAGTTTATGTTAACTGACCAATCGCTGTATATAATTAGGAAGAGGGTTGAGAGGGATAGCATCATTTGTGAGAAAAGTGGCCACTTTGGGTTAAGGATGTACACAAGTCATGTCTCTTGAGCTCAACTGCAAATAAGCAATGGGTGATGATGCTAACATTGCAGTGTTTGCCTAGGACTAGTCAAAGAGCTAGTGCTTACTTGGCCCGCATGGGCACCGGGGCTCAAAATGTGATGGTAGGATGTTAGGTTCTACAGGAAACAAGTCCCACATTGGAAGTATGGGATTATAGTGTGAGGTTTATAAGGCCTTGAGCACTCCAACTACAACAATTAGCTTTTACGATGCAATTCTCCCAAAGTTCTTATCAACGACCCTAAGAAAAGGAGTGCAACATTTGATAATATTGGTATTTCTTTTTCTTAATGAAGTGAAATTCTTTGAACTCTAGAGCTGCTGAAACCCATTAAATCGTTTCTTTAATGTCCTCGGTAAAGCTCATTTTGTTTCATCATATACTAATACTACAGTGACACTCAAATTTTGCAATCCAGAAATAGTATTAATTAGATATAATGGCATGATTTGATTAAGCATTGGCAACACACACTGACTGCAAAATTTGTAAGGAATGGAAAAGAAAATAGTCACCACCTCGCATTCCAGCTTGATCTGATGCTATGAAAATGGTCAAAAACAGGCAGCAACTCCTTCCGTCTTATTTCAACTTCATTAGCAGGGACTTTTTCAATTTCAAACTCCCCACTAGCACTCCAACTAGCTGCTGCAGATCTCATTGTATAGAAACAAATCTGAAGAAACAAAATTGTTATTTGCCAATTCCTGGTATTGTATGTGAAAATCAAAACCAATAAATACCTTAGACTTTTGCCATATGGGTAACCTTCCAAAATTCACTTGCACCTCTGCATTAGACAGATACCAGCGAAACCTTTCATGCATATTCCCACTAGAAGATTTCACAATCTTTTCCCCTGGCCCATCATGTATACCCAAAAAGTCCAATCCATGAATATCACTATAACCTATTTTCTCTTGAACTCTCTCCATACCCACTTGTCTATCAAAGGTATTACAGCATGGTTCCCCTCTTTCTGGCCATTCTGACCTTCTACATACATCCCACCATTGAATAGGTTCAACTTTCACTCTGAACTCATCCTCCTGCAGAAGTGAAGTTGACTGATTTCTCAAGCCACTATCAGTTGTTTCTCCACCAACAGATGGCAGAAGTTCATGTTGAACTACATGACCTGAAGGTGTAAACAACAATATATGCTCTAAAGGTTTTGCCTTCGAGTTAACAAGCTGTTGCGAATGAGATAAGGAATTATGAAAGATTGCAGCAATGGCACCAGATGGCACAAAAACTTTTCCTGTCACATTCGCAGCAGAATTGTGAACAGTATTAAGCCATCCAAAGCTACTATATTTTATCCGGCTAGCCACAGAAAGGACAACAGGTGCTGGGGGAGGCAAAGATTGCTGATAGGAAATGGAAGCTGGAGTATACCACCAAGGCAGAGAAAAAACAGGACGCAGGGACGGTTCTTCACCCTGAGAACTAATAATTTGAAAACCAGTATCACCTCCAAAGGGTGACAAAACAAAAAGATGACAAGTACCCTTGGAAGAGACAATTGCAATCCACTGACTAAAATTACTGAAACAAATGTCCTGAATCATCTGCCAAATAAGAAAAGAAAGAAAATCAAAAGGACATGAAGGCAAACTATAAAGGAATGTCATGAAAAACAAATAAAATAAATTCATCAGATCAAAGATAAACTGACCGCTGGTGTTATTCCACGATGAAGTTTATAAAGATGCACATGAGAAGAGTTCCAGTTGGAGCCTGAAAAGCCTGAACACTTGCTTGTGAATAATGGCATTATCCGAAATATATTAATGTTATTCCCATAGACTGATGCAGTGACCAGAAGGGTCCCGCTAGGGTCAAAACATAGTGCAGATATAGGACTAGTATGAGCTTTGAATTGTGATATAATAATTCTGGAAACAAAATCCTTAACGACTACCTGCAATCAACCATGACATGAACATGTTGGAGATTAACATCTCATATAAAGCCCATAAATATTTAACTTATCAATTAGTTAAGCCATCATGAAACAATACCAACCATTCCTGCATTATCTGCATCAATTCCTGTAACCCTGTTGACTTTCACACCTGAATTTGAAGCTACAGGAGAAGATGAACCATCAGGAAGTAGCTCTTGACAGTATTTGATTATTCCAGAGGCCAAATGTCTACTGGACTCCATTGCATAACGAGCCACTAAACTACCACTGCTTGGAGAAGTTGATGGACTAATTCCCGGAGAAGCACTGCAGTTTTGTGGGCTTAAGCAACCTAAATTAGAGGGAAGGGGGTTGTTAGAAGCATATGCCAACCACCTTGGACCCACAGTCATTGGACCATAACCAACATTAACACCAGTTGTTCCTTGTCCAGCTAACTGAGGAACAGGATAACTTAGAACACTGAACTTATTCTCAAGAGTCACAGCATCAAAGCAGTATATCTGCAAAAAATGATCAAGTACATCAATTATATATTACACAAACAAGCCAAGCCAAGCCAAATAGACCCTATTACTTTATCTGACAATAATGCTCAAAGTATTAAACAATTCTAAAAGACACTGGGGAACCACTGCATACTTGTGTGGCAAGACCAACAGCTACTATCCGTGAACTGCATCTGATCATACACACAGTGGATCGGAACCTCAGAACATGAACATAACAGTGAGACTTCAAGGAGTAAAACCGAACAGCTGTTGAAGAGTTGATATTGTTCCCAGGTTGAGTCTCAACATTATCATCCTTTCCTAAAGGACTCAAACAGGTATTGTTCTGGTTTATATTGTCGGCGTCATCCCCAGAAACAACCAACAGTAAAGGATGCGACTTTCTAAACCCCTCCTGGCCATCACAACCAATGGGGAAGGGTTGCATCTGTAAAAAAGAAACTGGACCATCACGCTTTGAAACTAATTCACTGAAGCCAGAGGCATCATCCACATCAAGAACTTGAAATCCATTCAGATAACCAAGTAAAAGAACACGTCTGAAGTTAGATGGATCAAGCTCCAATGTATCAAAACCAGCCCAGGTTACCTATCCACCAAGTAGTAAAAGGTAAAATTATATATTAGATCATGTATTAAACAAACAAAAAAGGTCAAAGAAGAAGAAAGTCTAGTCATAAGACTCATAACAATAATTTTAACTGGAAAACGGAAATTTAGCCAAATTGCAATGCAATTAGTGAGCAAAGTGTAGTGAAATTTATGGACCAAGAAAAAACTAACAAAGCCAGAACTGCAGAAAAATCAACTATACATAAAGAACTTAAAGTTAATTTCAATGTGTAACCAATGATAATATAGTTTAGTAAACTATACAGATTCCATATTTGATATCTTACCTAATTAGTAATTATTAAATTAACACCCCTACAAAGTCATTGAGTCCTGGAATCCCCAAAATCTATTGAGTAGATTCACAAATGTTGTCCCAGAATTGGTTTGGTATTCTCTCTACTCCAACCCAAAAAAAAAAAAAAATACAAAAAAAAGGTGAAAAATTCAAGGTTGATTTTTTCAACCAATTTTTCTTACAAAATTCTGTTAGAAAGGCTTATCTGCATCTACATGAATTAACAGATTAGGAAAGCCAACTCAGTGTCTACTTTCATTAGAAAAAACCTTGGTGCAAATAAATAATATTGCCAATATCATCGGTCTAATCTAACGCATTTAAATTGATAAAGCTAATCCAGAAAGGGGTACAACAACACCTTTGCTCCATATGTCAAAAAGTAACGAAACAAATATATATTTGATTCTTTATAGCGATAATTCCTTCCTCCTTTGGTAGTTGGGATTATTTACAACGAAACTAGAATCCTTCCTGAGTTAATAAACACCACCAAATATGTTTTATTTATTTATTTTTATTAACAGTTTGTACCTACCAATGACACGCGAACAGTGGAAGGTGGAAAGGAAGGGAAGCAGTACCTGATCTTTGTGATCCTCAGATGAAGAGGAAATAGAAGCTGCAACGGAGGCGCCAGCAGAGCGGACGGTGGAAGCAACGGTGGTGGCATTCGTTGACACAGTCTTGAGGCACAGAGAGATAATCCTCAAGGAATTGGGCAACAAGCCGTTGTTCTTCCCCTTTCTTTTCTTCATGATTAATATCTTTCTCTTCTCTCTCTATCTATCGTGAATTCATCAGTTTGTATCGCTTATCGCTCCTTCTCTCGTCCATGGCGGCTGCTGCAATTTTTGTGTATTACTGTTTTCTTTGCCTTTTCTCTCTTCTTCTGCTTCTTCCAGTTTTACTCTCTTTTTTCAACCAAAAATTGGGATGAACAACAAAATGGATTGGGTTGCACTGCATTGCACAACACTCTAAGCAGACAAATTAAAAATAAATAAATAAATAACAGTGAAATAAGAAATGATCGTGTGTAATAAATTCATTAATTTTTATAAAAATATTTTTAAAATCATATATATCAAAAATAAGTTATGAATATATGAAAAATTATATTTATAAGTAATTTTAAAAAAACTCAAAAAAAGTTCAATATAAAAACAGAAGCTGAAATTTTTAATATTAAACTGAAAATTATTTTTTTGTTTGTAAATAATATAAAAAAAATTAAGCTCATACTATTTTGTTTATAAAATAATTTTTTTTTAATTTTAAATAACGGATGTTTCATTCAACTTGAAAGAAACAACCATCTCTCAATTGATATAAGTAATAGTATGAATATCACTTCATACTTAAAAAGTTTTCATGCATGTATTTATATGTAATAATAGATAAAGAGCAACTGCCAAATTAATAAAAGCATCAACTGCCAAATCACTAATTTGATATTACTTGAGCAAATCAACATTAATGTCATCTATACTTACATAAAAAATAAATTATAGTTTTTATACTCATATATTTTAATTTTTAAAATTTTTATTATTAATTTTTTTATAATATCGAATTCATATGCATGATATGAATTTATTAAATTCAATTTATTAAATTCACGTGACAGAGATCTATTTAGTTTTTTCGATGATAATATGTCATTTAATGATTTACTACACAGTTATGACTAATTTGACTACTCACCTAAATCACATATAGTCATTAAAAAAAATTGATTGTTCACAAAATTGTCAAGACTCTTCATTTTTTCTCCATTTTAAACCATTAAGTGATACATTATCATTCATAAAATTAAATATATTATTATCATGTGAATTTAATAATCATACGTTACTCACACAAAATAATGTTATAAGAAAATTAACGGATTAAAAATATAAATATATAAAATAACAAAATAATGTTATAAGAAAATTAACGGATTAAAAATATAAATATATAAAATAAAATATTTATTTTAAACTATATGAACTAAAAGATAAAGTTAGTGTAACTATAGAAATTAAAAAAAAATATTAGATATTGTTTTATGTATTACTATATAAATATATTAATGTACCAAAAATAATAATTTGAAAATTTTGCAAAAAAAAAATATTGTTATTCATAAAAAATCAAATTTAATACTAAATTAATTTATTATAATTCACACATTTTACTAAACCAATTGAGCTAAATAGTTCAAAAAATTAATTATAATTATTTAAATTAAATTTTTTTGCATAATTATTTCTTGAAAAATACTCAAAACGTATGTAAAAATAAGAAGGAAAAAAGATTAAAAAAATGTTTCATATTTCAAGGAAAAAATATTGTCAAAAATAATATTTTTGCCTTTTATTTATATTTTGTTTTCAAATCAATCCTCTAATTTTTAAACAAAAAATAAATTAGTATTTTCGATTAGTCTTGTTCAATGTATCACTGTAAGTTATAGAGTGTTATAATTATTTTAAGTTGTTTCATGTTGTTAATTTGAACTGTTATTATGAGTTGATGAACACTAAGATCTGACGATTCCTTATAAGTTTCAATAGTGTCGGAACTTCTCTAGGCAGAGATCCATTTTGACAACCAAGAGAAGAGTATATAAGGTTTTTGTTTTGAATAGAATCTCATAAACATCATTCATCAGAAGCTTAGAGAAAGGATTCTAGAGAGAATAGCTATGGTCCGTGAGCTTCCTTTCCCTATAACTTTTCTCTTATTCTTCCTTCTATCTCATACATGCTATATAGTTGAAATGAATTCAAGTTCGTAGTGGCTAGAATCTTGTGGTTGAAATAAGTTGGGTGAGGTGCGGAGTTTCAAGTTTTCTTTCTTTTTCTATCTCGGTTTCATGTTATCTAGAGGTAAAGGAAACTAGATTTATTGTGCTTTTGATGAGTTGCTAGCCAATAAATGATTTTTGTGTTGCATGTGGTGTGAAATTTCAAAGATTATGGTTGTGTTGGTGAATTCAAAAAGAAAGACGTTGAAAGTTTGGGTTTTTGGGTTCATGAGGGGAAGTGTGATGATTTGCCATGAATTGTTGTTGCATTTTGGTTTTTGAGCTAAAATTAAGTTGTCTTTGATGACTATAATCATTATTTTGTGTAGCATGTATGGTTGTGGCTACATTTTAGGTGGATTTAGCAATATTCATGATCTGCATTAGTGCAATTTGTTCATCATGTTGAGCACGCCTTCGTGGCACCAGGCGTCATGCCAACATGAGGCTCTTTGTCTTGATCACGTCGGGCATAGGATCAATGGCGTCAAACATGAGGAGAGAGACTTATCTCAAGTTAGAATGGCGTCGAGCATGATTTGAATGATGTTGACATGAGATCATTGGGAGGTCTCTAAGTTGGTGTCATCTGGCCCAAGGTTGAGTGGTGTCTAGCGTGACCAAACCAGAGCTCTCTTTTTGGATGATGTTGGGCACCATTATGCTAATGTCAAGCGTGAGTCAAGCAAAGACCCTCTGTCAAAAATAGGTCAGGTATGATACCTTGTCACACTAAGCACAAGGTTCTAAGGGTATATGTTTTTTAACCGTCAGACGTGGGTTGAGTGGTGTCGAACATGGATGAGACAAAGAGTTTCCTACTTGAATGGCGTTAGGCATTAGGTGTTTAGCACTAGGCATCGATTGCTGAAGGAAAATATGTTGGTTTATTTGTTGAATTTTTCAATTACTTGTTGATTGAGTTATGTGTTGACTAAGTAAGGATGAATAAGTTGCATGGATGATGTTGTATGGGTCAATTGCATTGTGAGTTGTTAGTTGAAAGTTGAAACGCATTGTAGGTTGTATGGTTGAATTGTTGCGTTGAAATTGCTATGTGCAGTAGTTGTTGTATTGTTGAGAATGCTTTAGACATTTAGGCATGGTGTTGTTGTGTTGTGATGACCAACCTAGGACTAGAGGAGAGGTTTTTAAAAGTTGTATATCCCATTGTGTTGTGGTCTCTAAGAGCATAATTTGTTAAAAAATTCTTCTTGAAAAGTTGACCCTTAAAGTGGATAGTTGTGTTGAATCTCCTTTAAGACTTAATTGATATCGTGTGTGAGCCAGGTCTAGACACATGTGTATAAAGTGACCACAGTACAGGGATCAGGTCAAGCTATATTGATTACTAGTGACCAACCAAGTAAAGTATGAAGTCAGAAACCTAGTTCCTAATCGAGTATCAAAAAAGCGTAATATTTGGAGGGTAGTTAGTGGGATAATCTCATAGGAGACTTGGTTAAGTTAGCTAATATCGTGATAGGCGCATACCCAATTATTCCACTCTAATAATACTATTAGACTTCCTTGTTTAAGTGGAAATATCCAAGAAACCATGTTGTTTTGTTGTGGATTGATATTCAATTTTTTGTTAATCTAGCAAGTCAAAAAAATCACCTTGTATTATTGGTTTGGTAGGGTCAAACCACTTAAACTACTCAGCTTATGCTATAGGGAATCTCCTAATTGAAATGTGTGATAACGCATGTAGTTGTTGTTGTAAATAATTGGTGGACGCAAGTCGTATAAACCTGGAACCTGAAACACTAAACAACGACGTTAGTAAAATTCTCCCTGAGGCGTGTGATAGCACTGACCGAACTCCAGATATGACTATTTTAGTGAAGAGGGGTCAAGCTGCCAGCATTGCTTATAACTGTTGCAGTTTTTATCATTTTTAACAAGGTAGATGAAGGAATCATGACTTGGTGTCTTCTTGAGAGTTGTAGGAAATCTTCTTATCTTTCATATGAGATAAGGATGAGCATGGTAGGAGTAGTATAACTCCTGATGCGTTGTTTTCTGTGAAGGTTGCCATTTCACATTTAGTGATCTGGTCAAGTTGAAAGTTATTTTAGGTGCTAGGTTGATTGGTGTTGTTTGGGTGGGTAATTTAACGAGATAGATGAGTTTTAAGTAAGGTGGATGAGCCGTATTATGTGTTGAATATGTTGTATTTTGTATACTGTTGTGAGTTGATATGTTGAGTTGTATCAGTTGTATACTGTTGTGAGTTGATATGTTGAGCTGTATCAGTTGTGTATTGTTGTAAGTTGATTATGTTGAGCTGTATCAGTTGTATACTGTTGTGAGTTGATATGTTGAGCTGTATCAGTTGTATACTGTGGTGAGTCGATATGTTGAGCTGTATCAGTTGTATACTGTTGTAAGTTGATTATGTTGAGTTGTATCAGTTGTATATTGTTGTAAGTTGATATGTTGTGTTGTACTGTGTGTTGATTTTGGATGTTGTAGGCCGAAAGACTGAGGTGTTGTAGGCCGTTTCACGCTTCACTCCCTCTCGCTCAACTCTTTTTCTCTCAAGCTCTCACGCCCTTTTTCCTTGGATCTTTCTTTGGCTGTTACAGGGTAGTGATGCTGAGTGATTTTGGATTACTAGCTGGGGTACGGATTTCTCTCTTCTCATTCCGTGTTCGTGCAAGCTCTCCTTCTTCTTCTTCCTTCGTTCTTCCTCCCGAAGCCCGGATTCTTGAGCCGAGGTAAGGGAAGCTAGTATTCTTCTTGCCGGTTGTTTGTGTAATGAGCTAGAAACTCACATGATTGCTGATTTTTGCGGATTGGTGGCTGAGTTTTGATGAAAATCCATTTTCGGGATTTCCGGGGTTTTGATGAAAATTTGGGGGTTTTCCTTGTTTGATGTTGCATGTTGAAAAAGTTGGTACTTTCGGGTTGTTTGATGAAAACGTGATGTTTTGGACCGATTGCATGTGCCTGGGATGATGATTTTTGCAGGTTTTGGGTGGAATTTTCGAACTGGGGAGAGTTCCTGTTTGAATTTGCGCCGGGCGCAGTTCTTAGCGCGGGCGTGATTTGAAATGGGGAATCCCTGTGTGAATCACGCCGGGCGTGTGGAGAACCACGCCGGGCGCACTATCAAACGTGAATCATATGTTTTGTTACTGATAATGCGCCAGGCGCAGGATGATTGGCGCCGGGCGCGAT